ACCCGGAGAAAACCCACGCATGCACGGAGAGAACATGCAAACTCCACCCAGAAGGCCCCTGGACCGGGGTTTGAACCAAGGACCTGCTCGCTGAGAGGCAGCAGCTCTACCAGTTACGCCACCATGCTGCCGCTCCATGATATTATTTGGTCAATTTAAAAGAAAAAGTAGCATTCAATTTAGCAACCAAGTTTGGCCTAAAAGAATTTTGATGCTGCTGCTAAAAACGATCACAATTTGAATACAAACTCAAATTATACCTATTTTGTCCGAATGAATTCATAAAAGCAACAAAATTGTCCTCAAACAAAGTTCATAAACATTTTTGTTGTACTGTACCTGAGTTAAAAAAAAGAAAGTTAAACTTACAGAATACAATCCCTTTTAGAAAAAAAATAAAAATAACAGAAGTTAAAAATACACACATTCATACACACTGACACTATGTATTATTTATTTATTTAATATTATAATAATGTTATATTAATAAATCATAAATATGCATGAACACATGCGCCTCTAAAAGAAAAACTGATGCAGGGTTATATGTGTTTTTGTGTGTTTTAAACCTTTTAATAACTTTAAATGCAACTTTCAATTGAAACTCCCTAGCTGGGTTTTGCCCCGAGTGCTTGAAATTCTTAACGACGCGCCTGCTTCGTGTTACACTTCCACACTTATAGGCAAATAATGTACATTTCCTAATATATTTTTTCCCGTGTATTTCATTTTTGAGGATGAAATGATCGAACAAACGCTGTTCGTGTTTCGCTCTCAGCTGATACAACAGGCGTGCTGCGCTCCAACTCCTTATATGGTCATATTGAGCCTCGAAGGAAGTCGGTGTCACTTTTATTATTGTCGTTCGCATGTGGTAAAGGTTCCTACTATTTTATGTCAATAGATACTGATTTTCTACCACCTCCTTCTGAACAATAACGTTCTAAAATGTAGTGGAAATATATTTATATAAAATTAACTTAATGTAGTCCTTGAAGTGCTAAAATTACAGCCTGCATTTCTTAGTTTCTGCCGGAACTACCAGAGTTGCGTTCCTTCTGTTTCCGTGTCTGTGCTGAGGAGCTGAGGTGTGATTTGACAGGACTTCTTTATTCGCCACAATGCAGGTAGGTTTAGCTTCGTTATATTTGTAACTATTTAATTTACTGTTGATGGATGAGGCGATAATACGTAGACAAATAGTAGAGTTGTGTTTATTTATTTTCACATTTAAATGGACTTTTGACACTAAGCGAGTGTACACCATGGGCTCTGAAATAGAAATTATTTAGTAAATGTTTATTTCTCTGAATAATGTACTGCTGCCAAGAGTTTAAACAAGATAAGTGTAGCCACGTTTCATACAGAAATTAACTAAATAAATAAAAGTCCAAGCCGGCAGTGATTTGATGTCAGGAACAAGCAGTGACTTTCTGACTGCAGATGTGGAAGTAAGTTTGCTATGG